GGCCCCTGAGTGTCTCTTTTTCTAATGGACCCATGAAAGGTCAGGCCCAGCAGGAGGGCTGGATGCTGAGCTGGCCCCCAGCGCCTGCTTCTGCTCTGTGTGTCACTAGCCCAGTGAGAGAAGAGGGAGGAAAAAGGAAGGTGGAGAGAGGGAGTTTGCAGATGTGAGGGAGGGATTTTCATAACATGGCTTTGAGGAGGCCGCCTGGGACTCGGGGAGAGTTTATTCCTATTCCTTCGGACTCTTCTACCCGGAGGTGTTTGGAGCGTAGAAACGTGGTAGGAAGCAGGAGGGAAGGTGGCCAGGGTCTGGGTGAGCTGAAGGAGGGAAGGGGTATGGACATGGTACTGCAGGTGGAGGAGAGGGTACGGGTAAGCAGCCGCTGGAAGGCAGCTATTTAACGGGTGAGGGAAACCGAGAAGATAGGAGACTACGCTCAGAGGGAGAAGAACATGGCAATAATGACAAAAGGGTTTCAGCAGAGGGGTGGGTAGTTGGGGGAAGTAACTCGGTTTTGGGGGAAAATGGAGTAGGAGTTACAGGGATGGGAGGAGGCGAGGGAGCCAACCCTCACGGTCTCCCCCATTTAGTGTGACCCAGGCCAGGCCACCAAGTACCTGTACGAGCTGCTCTACAACGACCCCATCAAGATCATCCTCATGCCGGGCTGCAGCTCCGTCTCCACGCTGGTGGCGGAGGCCGCCAGGATGTGGAATCTCATTGTGGTGAGTGGGGTCGGGTCAGAAGGCCAGCCATTTTTTTGGGTGTATTTGAGAGGATGGCTTCCAAGATTCAGAGCCCTTTGCAGACCTGAACTAATCGGCCTCCTAGCACCAGACCCGACCCTCCGCAGCCACTAGAAGGCGCTGGCGTCAGACGGTGAGGGTGTGCAGGCCTTTGACCATGGCGTTCCTAGGGCGGAGGCAGAGGTGCTTGGAGAGCGTGGGCAGGGTTGGAGACGCTCTGGGCAGCTGTTGGCGGAGCCCATGGATGACGTCCCTGTCGCCCTATTCCTGTCCCTCGTAGCTTTCCTATGGCTCCAGCTCACCAGCCCTGTCGAACCGGCAGCGCTTCCCTACGTTCTTTCGAACTCACCCGTCAGCCACCTTGCACAATCCCACCCGTGTGAAACTTTTTGAGAAGTGGGGCTGGAAGAAGATCGCCACCATCCAGCAGACCACTGAAGTCTTCACGTCGGTGAGGGGACTGGGCAGCGGGCGCCCGCTCCAGCTCCAGCTCCACGTGGAAAGGGGTGACCTGGGACTCATTCTGGGAGAGACCTGGATTCTTTAGCACAAGAGAACACATCCCCGGGGGTCGAATGCATGTACTTTCTATGCCAGAGGAATGAGCACCTTGAATTTTCAGGATCCTTCAACTTTGTGGTTTTAGGGCTCCCCCCTTTGATGCCTTGTTCCCCAGGCGGGTAGTCCCCAAGTGACCCCGTTCTACCAAAGTAGGTTCACTCCAAAGTCGGGACATAATAAGGGAGAACATGTGTGGTAGGAACCCTGGGAGGCAGCAGGGTCCGCGCACTCCAAGGGCTGGTGTGTGTGTGTGTGAATGGGAGCAGAGGGTGGAGCTATGAAGATGGCACAGGCACAGCGAGGGAGAGGGAGGGAGAGAAAGATGGAGACAAAGACAGAGAGAGGGAGAGAAAGAGGAGACAGGGACAGAGAGAGAAGTATGAACAAGGGTCAGGTAGCTGACCCAGGGGTGCTGACGAGGCCAGGTGGAGGGGAGGGGAGCTCTGAGGGAGAGAAGACAGTCGGTTTCTTCTCCTTTGTTATGTTCTTTGAATCCTCTCTTTACTCGCCCTTTCATGGCTCTTCCCCCCCCCCGCCCCCCCATCTCTTAGTGATTCAGGACACTCCTTTCTGTCCTTTGACTGTCTGCTCACGTGCCTCGTGAGGTTGACATCGTCCCGTCTATCCAGGCCCTGCCTTGTCTTTTATGGCTCCTGTTTCCTTCCCCCATGTTTGCTGTCAGTGGTGAGAGGGCTGAGTGGGGTGATTTGTCGGACACAGAGGTGCAGGGGGGCTCCCTCCTGAGACTCCAGGGGCCGTCCTCTGACCACTCCCGCCCAGGGCAGAGGATGTTGGCGGGGGAAGGGTCACACTGCCGTTCCCTGTGGGGTGTGCGATCCCAGCCAGATCTCTGGTCTTCACCTGCTGTGCACCTGTGTTTCTGTTCTCATTCCTGCCGAAGACTCTGGATGATCTGGAGGAGCGCGTGAAGGAGGCTGGGATTGAGATTACTTTCCGCCAGAGTTTCTTCTCAGACCCAGCTGTGCCCGTCAAGAACCTGAAGGTGGGGTGGCCGAGAATGGCCGGGGGCACAGTTTGGGTTGGTGAGAAGAACCAGGTGGGGGGATGTTGGGTTTTTGTTTTGACATTGAGATGTAGCGGACATTGACGTGTGTGAGCCTAAGGTGCCCAGCATGTGGATTGGATGCACGTAGAGATTGCAATGGGCGCCCCCTGGCCTTGGCTGACGCCTCCGTCAGGCACCTCGCCTCGGTTCTGTGAGACGGGAGCCTCTCCTGGAAGCTGGTCTCCACGCTCCAGGTGACATTCACCCGCTCAGGACTCTGTGTCTCCCTCCTTCCTGCAGCGCCAGGACGCCCGCATCATCGTGGGACTTTTCTATGAGACTGAAGCCCGCAAAGTGTTCTGTGAGGTGGAGTTGGAGCCTGGAGAGGGAGGGCCTGGGCGGGCTCTGGCCTGGGCGGGCTCTGCTGAAGTTGACAGCAGATGGTCTGAGGTGATGGCTAACATGATGTCCCCGGCGGTTGGCTCTGACTCCATCTTTGGCTTCTCACACGCATGACACTCTCCAGATCTCATTTTTCCACCACTTCGTGTTTCTGGGGGGTCTGTAGCTCCAGTCTTTCCTACGGGCTGGGAGAGGCCACTTGAAAACAGAGACTGGGAGGAGCTTAGGAGGAGGAGGCGAGCCTCTCCTACTCCCCGCCCCAAACCTGTAGATTTCTCGGCCCGTCTCTGATTCCCCAGAGGCTGGATAGTGACAAAGAGATAGGACCAGAAAACAGTGACAGACCCAGCCCTCCTCCTCTGCATCCAGGTGTACAAGGAGCGGCTCTTCGGGAAGAAGTACGTGTGGTTCCTCATTGGCTGGTACGCGGACAACTGGTTCAAGACCTATGACCCGTCCATCAACTGCACCGTGGACGAGATGACCGAGGCGGTGGAGGGCCACATCACCACTGAGATTGTCATGCTGAACCCTGCCAACACCCGCAGCATTTCCAACATGGTGAGAGCGTGGGGACTGAGCGGCCGGACCTGGGCAGGTGGGGAGCACTGAGGGAGCCTTGAAGGGGAGGGGAGCAGGTGTGGAGTTTGGAGGTACAGGGGCGCAGGGGGCCTGTGCCCACCTTGAACTTGTTTGTATCGTTTCCCCTGGATTCCACTTCTGCTCTGACTTCCTTGGGCAAGAAAGAGAGGCAGTGGGGTGGTGTGATGAGGGTGGTCTGATGAGTGGAAGGGCTGTTACCATGGAAACGAGGAGTTGTTGGCAAGAAGTGAGATGAGGGAGAGGTGTTAATAATAACAGGTGCTGCACACGCAAGCACACCTCTAAGGAGCACCGTTCTGGGCGGGAATATAGTTTATTTTCTTGGTGACTTCAAAGCTTTTTCCAGCTGGTGCTCAATCATCAGTGCTCCTGGTGCTGCTCTGGATAATCCTCCTAGAATTGCAGGTGCAAAGGGGACTTTTGAAGTCATTTAGCCCCAACCCTGCAGGTGAGGGCCACAGGTGAGGGTGTGAGGGCAAGAGGCACTACATCTTTATTTTTTTTTTTTTTAATTTTATTTCAGAAAGGAAGGGAGAGGGGGAGAGAGAGATGGAAACATCAATGATGAGAGGGAATCATTGATCAGCTGCCTCCTGCACACCCCTTACTGGGGATTCCAGGCATGTGCCCTTGACTGGAATCGAACCCGGGATCCTTCAGTCCGCAGGCCAACGCTCTATCCACTGAGCCACACCAGCCAGGGCAAGGCACTACAGCGTAAGGAATACAGAGTCTTGGGTGAGCTGGATAGGACTACCTAAGTGTCTGCTTATTGTGCCCAGGGCGGTCCTAGGTCTGGAATGCCTGCTTTGGGCAGCAAGCTGAGGGTGAGTTAATGGTTATAAAGCCCCCAAATATCTCATTAAAACAAAGTTCTGGTAGTAATTGCTTTTGTGTAGTAAACCAGGAGCTTGATACATAATTTTAGTGATCCTCACAGCAGTACTCTGATGTTAGTTTTTCGTTTCCATTTTATAGGCCAAGAAGCTGAGGCTCAGAGAGGGTAGTGACGTACTTGTCTCAGGTCATATAACTTGGTGGGCAGGCTCGCTCCAAACCCGTGTCCCCATCACCTTCCAGGGAACCAGGAAGTCTGACTAAAAAATTCCTACTTTGATTGGCTAACACTCGTTTTGAGTGAGAGCGAAAGAAGATTTGAGAAGTTTATTCTGGCCATGGATTGTGCTGAAGGGCCAGTTGTCGTGTGGACTCTGCTTATGGACACTGTCCTGGGACAGTCTGAGGGATTCTCTGTGTAAGGCGTCTTGGTTGAAAAGTTCCCTGGAAAAATTCTGAAAGGTCACTTGACCAGTGAGTTGTCCATTGGATGGAGGTCTTCTTTCTCTTGGTCACTAGAGAAAGATGCTGCCTGCCTTCGAGCTCCCAGGGCTCTAGTGACACCAGGCCTGCTCCGCAGCCTGCAGCACCAGGGGAGAAGCAGCCGTCACACCTAACTAGGGAAGAGATTCTAGGCGAGTTAAACGGACCAAGGCAGGTGGATCAGAAGCAAGGGTCGGTCTTTGGGACCCAGAGTCACGGCGACTTAGAAAAGGAGCCGAGTTGGTAGCCTTGAATCTAGGTGAATAGTTCTGAAACGAGCTTCCAGAACCACCTGGAAATTGGTTAGCGTGCAGGTTACTGGCCTCTTCCCTTGGAAGTTCCTATTCCGGAGGTCTGGGTAGGCCGCCAGATTTACATCTCTGACAAATTCCCGGGGATGTTGATGCTTCTGGCTTGGGGACGTATTTTGAGGACCATTGGTTAGAGCAGTGGTTTTCAACCAGAAGTTGCAATATCGAGGGGTGATTTTGGTTGTCACAACTGCTGTCTAGTGGACAAGCCAGGGATGCTTCCAAAACCTCCTACCCTGTACCAGACAGTCCCCTGCAACAAAGAGCTATCCTGCTGCAAAGGCCAGTCGTGCGGACACGAGAAGCCCTGGCTTAGGAGCCGGCCGTGCGCAGTGGGTGAGAGCGGTTCTGGAGAACGGTGATGGCTCTGGGCTAGAGGGGCAAGTAGGTGGTGGGAGCAAGATTGTGAGTAAAATGAGTAAATTTGTTGTTGTTGTTAACCCTCACCTGAGGATATTTTTCCATTGGTTTTTAGAGAGAGTGGAAGGGAGGTGGAGAGACACAGAGAGAGAAACATCGATGTGAGAGAGACACATTGATTGGTTGTCTCCCTCACCCACCCTGACCCGGGCCGGGGATCGAGCCTGCAACTGCGGTTCACGCCCTTGACAGAAATTGAACCCGGGACCCTTCAATCTGTGGGTGGAGGCTCTATCCACTGAGCCAAAGCGGCTGGGGCTAAATGAGTAAATTCTGACAGCGATAGAGGTGCCATCAGACCTGGAGAAAATACAAAATAAAACTTATCTCATTATATACATTTTAGGTCACTGTTGAGCATCCACTCTTACATATAGAAACTGCCAGACAGGGCTGTTAGAAAATTAGTTTCATAAATTTGCACTTGGTTACTTCACTAATTTCTATGCGTTATGGAACTTTTGTTCTGTTTTCCTTGAGCTGCCTAGTAACATTTTTATTTGAAAAGTGGCAGCCATACCTTTGCTGGCCCAAGAGGCGCTGTTTCTGGTAACTAGTTATGTGGGCTCAGGGGTGCCAGCAGCGGCCGAGCCAGTGGGGGGGGGGGGGGGGGGGCGAGGAGGGCGGGGCTTGGGCAGGGGCGCAGCATGCAGAGCGGGGGAGTCCCTGCCTGTTGGGGTGACTTTCTGACATAGTGATTACTTTGAACTGCAGATTGGATAGACCTGGAGGCGGGAGGACACTCGGGAGGCCCAGCGGCCTGCCCGGTGGCCCAGGTTGGGGCTTGTCCTGATATGTAAGGCTGTGGTTTCATCTCCGGTCAGGGCACATGAAGAAGCATTCCAAGGATGCATGTATAAGTGGAACAGCAATTGATGTTTCTCTCTCTCACTCGCTCTAAAAAATCAATTACAATTATTTTTAAAAGCCTCAGCCGCTGCCGTCCTCTCAGCGGCGCTCTGCGAGGCCTGGGCGCCCGGGCAGCACAGGGCTCGGACTCGGCGCAGCCCGGCTGTGGGTCCTGCTGCCTCGCACTAGGCACTAGCCGCGCACCTTCAGGCAGCTGGACTTCCCTGTGCCGGTTTCCTTTTTTCTGAAAGGGCCATACACCTCATTTAAAGGCGAAGTGAGTGACACATGGACCTTAGGAAGGTGCCTGTAACAGACAATGTAAACGTTAGCTATTGTTGTTACTATTAACAGTGCTCTGTGTAGGAAGGCATGGTATTAATGACACATTTCAACAAAAGAATTAAGAAATTTGGTGATTTGAAGGAGTCTAAGGTGATTTTAAGGATTTAATCTTATGTGCTGGGAAGTGTTAGGGAGTGAGGAAAATTGAGCTTTTAGTTTTAGGTATTATTTTTTTATAGTTTTTTAAAAAATATTTTTATTGATTTCAGAGTGGAAGGGAGAGGGAGAGAGAGAAACATCAACTATGACAGAGAATCATTGATTGGCTGCCTGTTGCACGTCCCCTACTGGGGATCGAGCCCACAACCAGGGCATGTGCCCTGACCAGTAATCGAACCCTGACCTCCTGGTTCACAGGTCGATGCTCAACCACTGAGCCACACCAGCTGGGCAACAAATACTTTGTTTTTCTTTTAAAGCTATTCACTGAGCAATATCTTTTTTAAAAAAAATATATTTTTATTGATTTCAAAGAGGAAGGGAGAGGGAGAGAGAGATAGAAACATCAAAGATGTGAGAGAATCATTGATTGGCTGTCTCCTGCATGTCCTCTACTAGGGATCAAGCCCAAAACCTGGACATGTGCCCTTGACTGGACTCAAACCCAAGACCCTTCAGTCCGCAGGCCGACGCTCTATCCCCCAAGCCAAACCAGCTAGGGCCTGACTTTATTTCTTAAAGCAGCTCAAGTTCACAGCAAGATAAGTGGCAGGAGCAGAGATTTTCCACACGTCCCTGCCCTCACACACACACAGAGCCCTCGCTGTCAGCATGCCGAGTGGTCACTGATGCACCTACATTGACACATCATTTCCACCCAAAGTCCATAGTTTTATGAGGGCTCACTCTTGGAGTTGTGCATTCTGTATTTCACACACACACACCCCTCGTGAAATCATACAGAGCATCTTCAGTGCCCTCACCAGTGGACATCTATCTGGGAGGCACAGTGCTGGGTTCTGAGGAAGGAGAGAGGGGTGGAGCCTGGTCCTGTCCTCAAGGGCAGGAGAGCCAGCCCATCTGTCTGCAAAGCCAGGCTGTTCCCACTGCACCACACTGCCTGGCCTTTGCGTTTTCTACTCCTTTGTGTCCAGAAAGTTGAATAGAAAGAAAAGTGGGCACAGCATGGGGAATGAAGACTTTTTTTTAAAAATATATTTTATTGATTTTTTACAGAGAGGAAGGGAGAGGGATAGAGAGCTAGAAACATCGATGAGAGAGAAACATCCATCAGCTGCCTCCTGCGCACCTCCTACTGGGGATGTGCCCGCAACCAAGGTACATGCCCTTGACCGGAATCGAACCTGGGACCCTTCAGTCCGCAGGCCGATGCTCTATCCATTGAGCCAAACCGGTTAGGGCTGGAATGAAGACTTTTATTTGTTCTTCATTCATTTCCTCATTAGAGTGAGTGTATGTTAATATATTCAGATCTAATCCAGTGCCCGTGTCTAACCTGTGTCTTGCTGAGAAGTCGCCACTGGGTGTGGTTTTAGGAGGTAGGGAAGGGCAGGTGTGATTTTCTCCTTTATGTGGGAGCCATCTCCAAACCCTTCCGGGAATTCACCTCTGGTCATCTAGCTAAGTGACTGCCGGGTATGGAAACTCAGGTCTCTGACCCATTTCACGACAGAGGTAAAGGAACTGTCATTCTGTTACTTAGCTTTCTTGGAAAAAGAAGATTTCCAAGAAAAAGAGGGCTGGAAGGGTGTGGGTAGGGGTTGAATAATAGACCTTGAAGCTTAGGGGATGTCTGCGAGTCCGTGAACTGCAAGCCTGCGGGGTAGGAGTCCGGCCCTGAGAAGGCTCCCTGGGACAGGCCGCGTGAGGAAGCTGTGGTGCCACCGCCGCTGGGTCTTTGGGCATCGGCGGGGCTGTTTGGCCGGTGAGCTCTATTGGGAAGGTTGGAGCTGAGAGCACAACCATTCTCTTGCTTTTCTCTCCACGTTCTAACCTTCACCATTTATCATGCGGTGTCAGCTGTGTGTGTAGTTCTGAGCAGCTGTGCACATGAAGGTGTTGGTCCCAGCTGCTCCCCGCTCTAGTCTAGTGGCTTCAGGTGTAAAACAGACACGGGTGTAGCTCAAGGTTTTATGTGTACATTTGCTGGACCTGACAACATGAACGTAAACCATCTATTCAAGTCGAGATGGGGGAACCAGAAGCGGTGTTACCCCGCCCTCCCACCCTCCAACCCCTTCCTCCCTAGACATCCCAGGAATTTGTGGAAAAACTGACCAAGAGACTGAAAAGACACCCCGAGGAGACGGGGGGCTTCCAGGAGGCCCCGCTGGCTTACGATGCCATCTGGGCCTTGGCCCTGGCCCTGAACAAGACCTCGGGAGGGGGTGGCCACGCGGGCGTGCGCCTGGAAGACTTCAACTACAACAACCAGACCATCACCGACCAGATCTACCGGGCGATGAACTCCTCGTCCTTCGAGGGCGTCTCCGTGAGTGCCAGTGGCCCCTCCACACACGTGCTCCTGGGAGCCCCTCTGGAAACGCCTCCTCTCAGCTGCCTCCCTGCAGCAGCTGGTCTCAGTCCAAGGAGTAGGGACCCCAAACCCACCTGAGACTAGAAGGGGAAAGCCGTCCCATTGCTTCAGCCCTCTCCTCATTCCTTTCAGCCCAGATATGTCTGTCAGATCAGAACTATAGGGCTTTGAAAGAGGAAAGAGGTCATTTGCTTATTCCATTAAAGTGGGGAAACCACCCAGGCACTCAGTGACCTGCTCAGGCCCCACACCCAGAAGCCAGGCTCCTGGTGCTCTGTGGGGATTCTTCCATCCAGATCTCATGGTGAAGCTTCTCAAAAGAATAATGTTTCTGAAATCCAGGGTATGGTTATCTGGGGTATGTCCTATATGCAGGCAAATGCCATAAATAGAATTCATTCAGAACCTCCATTAGCTTCAAAAACACCAGGATTCAAAGCGTGAGTCCTGAGATCTCTCACACTTGCTTTTATCCCCCTTGTGCCTGTTCCTCTCCCTCAGGGCCACGTGGTGTTTGATGCCAGCGGCTCTCGGATGGCATGGACGCTTATTGAGCAGCTCCAGGGTGAGCCTGGGGGCGGGGGTGGGGAAGCGAGGGGCAGGTGGGCTGGGCTAGGAAACCAGGAGACATCACAAGATGGCCTCGGTGCCTCTCTACCTTCTCTTTTAACTGTCCGTCAAGCTTTTAACTAACACTAGTAACAGTAATAGTGAAAGCAGCTCGTGTGTGGGTGGGTGTCTCTGAGCTGCAGTGGTCGTGTCCTTCAGGGGGTGTGCGCTGTTTCCGGTCGGCTTCTGTTCTGATTTCAGGAGTTTCCCTTTGGTGGCTTGGGGTGAGAAGTTGACCTGTCATTTGCATACCCATGGACTCAAGGAAAGCTGAATCTAGGAAACCTGCTATTTTTTTTTTTCAGAGTTAATTTCATGAGCATATTTTTAAAATTGGTTTTTAGAGAGAGAAAGAGAGCGAGAGAGAGAGAGACAGCGATGTGAGGGTCAAACATTGATTGGTTGCCTCCTGCACGCCTCCATTGAACCAGAAATCAAACCCATGAACCTTTGGTCCAAGGGCCGATGTCCTAACCACTGAGCGACTGGCCAGGGCAGAAACCTGTTGTTTTTAAAGGGAACTTATAGAATTTTCTTGCTACATACATAAGTAAACATTCTTTTTTGTTGTTAATCCTCACTTGAGGATATTTTTCTATTTTTTTTATGGCGAGTGGAAGAGAGAGGGAAAGACAGAGACACATCAGTGTGAGAGAAACACACTGATTGGTTGCCTCCTGCACGAGCCCTGACCAGGGCCTGGGCTGGGGAGGAGCTTGCCACCAAGGTATGTGCCCTTGACCGGACTTGAACCCAGGACCCTTAGGTCTGCAGGCTGATACTCTATCCACTGAGCCAAACTGGCTAGGGCATAAGTAAACATTCTTAATTTTTTTTTTAGTATGTGTAGTTTGGTTTTTCCAGGTCGTGTTTTCTTATAGCTTGGCCCACTTATGTATTTGCAAAACTCCCATGAGTTAATTTTCCAACCTCTCCCCGCTCAGCCGCTCAGCGTGGCCGGGAGAGCTGCTCCTTGGCTCCCTGTGAAAAGTTTCTTCCTGGCTCCCACCTCCCACATTCTCTCAGAGCTTCTTTGTACCAGGAGGAGCGGGAATGGCCGGCGGCCATGGGGAAGGGGGCGCGAGTCGGCCTTTGATGGGAAAGCAGGGTAACTAGGACAGTCTGGAATAGAACCTTAGGAGTGACCGAGTTGCACTTGGCGGCACTTTGAGAGGCAGGTACAACTTATCTGTGGAATTAGAACCCAAGCCAACCAACAAGGGAGGAATTTATAAAACGAAAGTGGAAGCCACTGGGAAAACAGATGCCATGATTCTGTCACGAGAGGGAGGATAAACATGTTTAACGCTTTAAAGCTGGACCCACAGGGAGAGAGATCTTGCTATGAGAGGTGGGCTGTGCGATGAATGGCGGCTTCCCACATACAGATATTGTTTTGTGGGACCCTTTACACTGCCTTTACGTCAGGTTGCTCATCCACGTGACCGCTCAGGCCCTTCCAAGTCTCTTCAGGGCGCGGGTGAAGGGAATCGGTTGCAACCACAGAAAGCTGCCTTAGGGAAGTGGAAGGCTGGGAGTGCCGGAAGTAGTCTTCCCCACCCCACGGCGCTCCTATTGTCTGCCCAGGTGGCAGCTACAAGAAGATCGGCTACTATGACAGCACCAAGGATGACCTCTCCTGGTCGAAAACAGATAAGTGGATTGGTAAGTGGTCCTACGTATGTTTTCCTTCAATCCCTCTGAACAATCATGAGCAGCGTCATGCACTTGAATGAAGGTGGGTGGCAGGTGCCATGAGGTTGAAATGCTCCGGGGGGTGGACCAGGATTGGGTGAAGAGAAAGGGAATAGAATGTCCAAGCTCTGGGCAGAGGAGGCGGGTGTATCGTGAGAGGGAGTAGGCAGTTGGTAGCACGCACTATCAGAAACAGTCACCGGGGAGTGGAGGCAGGGGCAGGCAGGTGTGGGAGACGGGCACTCCATTCGGGTCTCCCGATGTCTGGTGCCTTGATGTATCGGGCCTGGAATTGCCTCTTTATTTGTCAAGAAAGCAGTTGCTTAAACTGCAGGAGAGAGGAGTGTTGTCTACAGGAGTGTACCTGTTACAGAGGGCAGTAAGCGGTGCTCTCTGAGGGCTTGGTGGCTAAAATAATAGGAAGTGGGGAAGATACCAGCGGTGGGCAGAGGCAGGTAGGTCCTGGTAAAACAAAGGTGGGCATCGTGAGGACGGCGGAGGCACAGCAAGGGGCCCGCCTGCCACCCCAGGAGGCCCCCCACTGCTGCTTCCTGGAATGTAGGGCAGGTCCCGGGCTATAAATGCTGCATGGCCTGAATTACGCCTTTCCCAGGCCACACACATTGAAATTAGCTTTTTTTTCCCTTGTGAACTCTGACAAATTTAAGCTTCCTCTCGATACTGGAAACACCTTTGGGGATACCCCAGCCAGGGCTAAAAGTCACAGGTCAGCTTTTTCCTCTTTCTTGGAGCTAAGAGGCCAGACCAGATTCTTGGAGGCTCTTAGCTTTATGATTCTACAATCATAAAGCTTTTGATTTGAGTTGTAAGAAACCTCATAATTTTCTCAGCTATCCCCTCCTTTCCCTTCCCATTTCCCTTTCCTACAAGAAAGACAGGAAAACAGGACAAACAATAACAGAAAAGACTATGAGGCCCAGCTCTGCCAGCCTGTGGACAGCGCAGCAGCCCCCTCTGAGCGCATGTCTGCTGGCACCTGAGAGCCGGCCCGCAGCGCTGTCCGCCTGCAGCTGCCGCTGCCTCCCCCGCCCCACCTGCCTCCCTGGGTCCTCCTTCCTCCTTCTTTCCCTCTCTCCCTCCTCCCCCTGTAGGAGGGTCTCCTCCTGCTGACCAGACCCTGGTAATCAAGACATTCCGCTTCCTGTCACAGAAACTTTTTATCTCCGTCTCGGTTCTCTCCAGCTTGGGCATTGTCCTAGCTGTTGTCTGTCTGTCTTTTAACATCTACAACTCCCACGTCCGGTAAGTGTATCTTCTGACATTTTTGTTGTCCTGTCTGCCTCTCCAAGATGGTGATCATTGAAGGGAGAGAGTCAAACCTGTGTCACTGAGGCCACGTGTCGGGTTTTCACTGACTTACCGCTTCCCTAGGTCACTGCGCACGGAAGGTGAAGCCAGAGAGTTCCCGTTCCTGCAGCTTAGGGGCCGGGCAGGCGGGCAGGGCTCGGGGTGGGGTGAGCTGGTCTGGGCGGGAGGCCCTCCCAGCCCTGCAGCGGCCAGGCCAGTCGGCTTTCTCCTGGCTCTGCTGCCCGCCCAGGCCTGTCTTCCTTGTCCTGCGGCCTTTGGAGACGGACCTCCCTTCAGCAGGGGCTGATTCTGCTTTCCTCTCCCTTGCTCCCGCCTGGGCTCCAGCTACATCCAGAACTCACAGCCCACCCTGAACAACCTGACGGCTGTGGGCTGCTCGCTGGCCTTGGCTGCTGTCTTCCCCCTGGGGCTGGACGGGTACCACATCGGGAGAAACCAGTTCCCCTTTGTCTGCCAGGTGAGGCGCAGCTCCCCTGCCGGCCCTGCCTTCTTCCCACCTGTCCCTGTGCCTCCAGGTGCGTTCATTCTGTAGCTCGCTTGTCAGTTCACTGTGGGCTCCAAGGTTGCCAGGGTCCTGAAGACAAAAGCAGGGTCCCCACGGAGGGACAGCGGTGGCTTGTCTTGTCTTGGGGGCTGAGAAGAAGAACTGGATTTCCTGTGGAGCCTTGGGGGGTTGGGAAGGACGACGGCAAAAATCCGGACCCACAGCGGGGTCAGTGGGGAGGCAGCCCTGCTACACCGGTTGGCCTCGGGATGCAGTGCAGGGAGGAGCCTGGCGCTGTGGGGATGGGCTGCTGTCCGCAGCACCTCTGGTTCTGTGTTGTGCTGGTAGGAAACACCCCGTGTCCCCTGCCCACCTTACCCTCCCCTCTCCTCTGCCTGGTGCCTGTCTCCGGCCCACGCTGTGCACAGGGGTCTGCTCACCGGCACCCAGGCCACGGGCAGGCTGCTTCCAGGGGGAGGAGGCAGCGGGGTGCAGGCTGCTGTGGGACACGGGGAAGAGGGCGGCCCTCGCAGAAGAGCCGCGTTTGAATATTGAGGGACTCCTGGGTTTGTCAGCTGGCAGGGCAGTGTCACAGGCCAGCAGCGGAGGCCTGGGGAGCGGCCAGAAGTGACTGGCCATTAGACCAGGAGGTTTTAGGAAGATCCCCTGGTGGCAAAGTAGACGATGGATGGGAGGGGTTTGCTGAAGGTAGGGAGCCCCTTCCTCCACTCTCCCTGGTGCCCCCCCCCGCCCCCCCCCCAGGGTGCCTCCGGCGGAGGCCCAGCGCCCTCTCCTTCCCAGGCCCGCCTGTGGCTCCTCGGCCTGGGCTTCAGTCTGGGCTACGGCTCTATGTTCACCAAGATCTGGTGGGTCCACACGGTCTTCACCAAGAAGGAGGAGAAAAAAAGTGGGGGAAGGGGAGTTGGGGCTTTCCCCGGGCTTGGCCCCGGGCCCAAGGGAACCCTGTTTTGTTCTCCCCCCCCCAAAACCCGGGAGCCCCTGGA